CCACTTAACCTCCCATTCTCTTAGGCAGACACATTTCAAAGCTTCAAGATGAGATGTTTAACTGGTGTGAGGGAGCATGAAAAAGAAGAAATGTTCTAGGAAAAGTGTTTTGTACAGTTAACTGAATCATCATAAATGTTCAGTAGATATAATCTGTATTAGTAGGATTAATTTTTACAGCCTCAGACTCAAAAGCCAACAGTCAAAAGTCTCTCAGGTGGTAACAAAATAGGACATTAACTCTGTAAGTCTCAAATTTTGTCCTTCCCCAAGAAAAACTCCCCACAGGGATTCTCAGACTTGTTGTTCACAGTATATAGCATACTACATTCACTTATCAGTGAATGAATGAAAAGTTTAAAAAGCAACCCAAATGCCCATCAACAAATGAATGAATAGAAAAAGTATGGTATATAGTTTCCACACAATGGAGTACTATATAGCACTGAAAAATAAGGAACTCATAAATATTACACAAAAGGGTGACCCTGGAGGACATTATGCTGAGTGAAATATCTCAGTCACAAAAGGACAAATATTGTATAACACTACTGTTATAAAACAGGACTGACCTAGGATTTGTGTGCAAACTAAGAAAAGAGGGAGTAAATATTGAACACTGTGTTGGAACAGATGAAGGAAAGAACTATGTAAAAGGAATATATGGTTAGGCATTATTTGCATGGCGAAAGTCCAGAATAAGAGGTGCATAGGAAAGGGGACTGTCCCAGGGAGGAAATGATGCAACAGTGAATTCATAATTCTTTTAACAAAAGTGAACTAACTGGGTGGGGAAGTAGGGAGGAAAATGTGCAACAATGAAAGAATGAAAATCCAACTTTTCTGTAAAGTTTCATAAAATCACAATTAAGTAAAAGTCTAAAAAAGCACAGCAGTTTTACATACATTTTATTTCTATCCTCTTGGGTCCCCCCTCCCCCTTGTTGTATGCCATTAAATTGGATCCAACTGGCACAGGAAGAGATTGCCTCTCCTTCTCCACTGGAGCATCGGGTCGACTCGAACCACGTGCCTTCAGGATTGCAGCACAACTTCTTGCCACCAGGCCACCAGAGCTCCCTTATATTGTTTTTTTGTTGTTATGTGCCATTGAGTTGCCTGCAACTCATAGCAACCCTATGCACAATATCCCTAAACACTGCTCTATCCCTTGCAATTTTATTGTCTTCAACACACCTATTCCCATTACCCCAGTAAGAGTCAATTTATCTCCTCCAGAGTCTTTCTCCCCTGTGCTATCCCTCCACCCTCCCAAGCATGACCTCCCTCTCCAAGGACTGATCCCACTTTGCAACATGTCCAAAATGTGTCAGATGAAGCTTCAGAATCCTTGCCTCCAAGGAGCAGCCTGGTTTCACCCTCTCTAGGATGATCTTGTTTTTTCTCCTTGCAGTTAATGGTATATTTAATACTCTTCTCCAGCACCACAGCTCAAAGGTATCCATTCGCCTTCTATCATTCCTAGCAATTGCCCAGCTTTCTTATACTGTTTGTTTTTAAGTCATATCCTGAGGTCTTAATTTATCTGATGCTAAAAAGACAATATTTATACTCTTGCTTAAACTCACTTTGAGTAATTTATTCACCTAACATGAGAGATTTAACAGTGCAAGTTTAGTTTGGTGGTTTTAACCCACCAGTAGCTTTGTAGGACAGCAGTGTACCAATTTATTCTGTAAAAATTTACAACCTTGAGAACTTTACTCTCTAGAGTTACTGTGAGTCAGAATTTATTTGAAGGGTTTGGTTTGATTTTTGACTAGTCATCTACTTATGACATATTTATTTGATTAAGTAAGGAATTACTAAAGAGAGCTCAAAGGGAGAATAACTATTATTCTCCATGAAGGGGAAGTTTTGTTTTTCATCAGCAAACAACAGGTACTATTAATCTGTCCATGCCAGCATTGGCCAAGGCACTGTGGCTAAATAAGAAAACTGTAGAAGTGTGAGCTCTATATTTGATAAAATAAGGGCACAATTAAGAAAGAGCTTTATCATTAGCAGTGCTTATATTTTATGTGTTGATCTGTGTATGTGTGTAGACATGTAACTGTGTAAAGGCTAAGAACCACAATCAAATTTTCATTAAGTCGTGAGCTTCATGTTATGCATTACAAATGTTAGAGGAGTTATAAATGAGAATCTATAAGTATGGCAGGGGGAAGAGGAAACATAGCATGGGTTCCTGGCTCCATTTCCTAATATTATTGGCTGTATTATGATATTTACTCTAGATGATTAAATCCTACCCATTCAAAGAGGTCATGATGTCTGCCTTAAAGAAATTTCCAGCTAAGGAAACATTTTTCTGCATGTCTGTCATGGGAGTTATGGCCAGTTATGAGGCAGATTCTTATCTTTGGCCAACATTGATAGGACCTAGAATGGAACTTTGACCCAAGGGAAGCCAGTCCAGGGTTATTCAGGATTTAGAGTGAAAAAGTGAGTTGGACCAAATGTCTTGGGGCCTGGAAGGAGGAATTGAAAAATTGAGGCTGTAAACAATGGGGCAAATGCTGAAAACAGTGACCTGAGAAAGGCTATCAAGAAGTCAGAGGTCATGTACAAACCAGAGAGGGGAAAAAAAAGAAGTTCATTTTTACAAAAGGAATCAGTGTATTTTGTGGCAATAGTAGCATATGATCTGTATTTGACGGACTGGTGAGATTGGCATACAGAGAGCTGGAATGCAGAAAGTAGTCTACTTTGAGACTATGTTCAGAGCATTGCGTAGAATACTTTGCACAAGATAAGTTACATTCTCTTTTATTGTGGGAATTATTTTTTCCTTGCCAAAACACCTTAGGAAGGATATTAAGGTCACCAAACTTGCAGAGCCAAGGAATTCTTAGGACTAACACATATGCTAAGGTAATCAGCAGAGCTTCTCGAAGGCCAACATAAACCCTTTCAGCTCAAATATTCTGAGGCTGTCTTTCTGTTTTAGAAGTCAGGTCTGACTTCTTCAAGGATAAGACAGAAGTTTTAGAAAAACGTTGGATATTACTGGATTTCAATTACTGCTCTTTCCTTTCGCTATTTCTTTCTAGGTGGCTTTCAGGTTTTGATTTTTTCTTTCTTTTTACTTTTTGGTTTGTTCCAAAATAGTTTTGCTTGGTGTTCATTATATAAAACCATCTTGAGCTTCTATTATATGCTGAACCAGTACTTGAAGGTAGCTAGATTTCAGACTAAGCCAAATTCCATGCATGTCTTAGTGTAGGAAGTGACTAGGGTCCCCTGGTATGCTGTGGCCATGGTAATCTGCCAAGTCATATTTCACAGACAAGTAGAGAGCCAGCACCAGGAAGAGGCCACAGTTCCTCTAATGGTACATAATGAGAGGAGGGAACATTTTTCACCATAAGGCAAGCAGAGGAATCCTATCAAGAAAGATTTTTTAAAAAAATTATTTTATACTGGTTTACATACAAAGTCAAGAGAGATTTTTGGACAATTTTTCTTTGGCTGCTTGAAAGATGGCTACACATATCAGAAACAAAGCCAAACTAAAACCAGGGGAACTAACCTTGATTCCTTCTTTTGACAGATTAAGGAAAGCTTTTGTAGATGTAAAGAGGAGAATTTTTATCTTTCCTCCTCTTTGCACAGCAATGTCATTTCCTCTCTTGCTTTCTGAGCAGAAAGTTAATATTCCAACAACATATGCTTTAATTGACTGCAGCTATTAAATCCCTTGGCTCACATGCATATGCATATGCTTCAGGATATAAGAGCAAGATGGAAATTGAAATTTAATCATTAATCTTTCATTATGTAGGAAACTTGACAAAAGCAAGGGAGTGAGGAAAGGGTGGCACCTGATTTGCACACAACAGGGCTTCAAATTTGAGGGGAATGAACTTGAAACTTCAACATATCTTTTGGTCCCTCTAAACTCTCATATAGGAGCCCAGGCTGCCAAAGGGGTTAGTGTCAAATACAGCAGCTTCATTTTACTGGGAATCATCAGAAGAGTAGAAAAGTCATTTGCTTTGTATTTACACTTGAGATGCTCTTTTTCAACATCTGCCTTTAACCCTTATGCTTCAGCGATATTGGCCCAGATTGCCTTTGCATCAGAACTGCTTACTAGCCAGTACAGTGGTGAAGACAAAGATTTTATTTTTTCAGATGATGAATATTTGAGAGCAAAGCTAGCATATTTGCATATTGCTATCCAGAATACATTCCTCACTCCCTGGAAAAACTTAAAATTATATCCTTTTAAAGTATGCAATGACATATTTCAGCATCAGTCCATTTCTGGAACCAATGATTGTTATCGGTCGATGATAACTTGTTCTACTCTGCAAAAATAAAAAGGGAGTTTTAACTGCATGTTGCAGTTGTTTATGAGTACATCAAGTCAGGACTGATGAATAGATGACTCTTCAATGGGTTTTCAGAGGTAGGAAATTGCACAGGAGTAGAATGACCAACTTTCTTCCATGAATTCTTTGCATTGGCAGTAGGATTCTTACCACTAAGCAACCAGAGTCCCCTCTAGCTGCATACTGTATAGTTTTTTGATCTACTAATCAACATGTAAGTGATCAAATCCACAAGCTTTTTCACAAGATAAAGATGAGAAGTCTCTTCCCATAAAGATTTATAGCCTCGGAAGATCCCACAACGTCCTTTCGGTACACATAAGCAGAAGTCCTATAGTAAGCAGACAACTGTAAAGTGCTTGTTCTACCGAAGAATATCAGGATGTTTAAACAGCAAATAATAGTAGTGTCAAGGCTTATGTGTGCAATTAAAATTTTGCCTTTGAGAAAATTGTCTAAATTCATTATGTCTTTGGTAGCCAGTTTAGGTCAGTTCCTACTTAGTTCCTAGTTAGTAAGAGGGCAAAGACAGATACTTCTCTGCAAACTGCTTCATACTCAGTGAAGGCCTGAGTCCACCCCACTCCCCATGCACTTCCTACTGCCTTGTCCACCTAGCTGAATCTCCCTCTGGTCACTTACCTCACTCTCCTCAATAGGTGGTGGAGGTACTTCCTTGATAATCTAAAAAGAAAAAAAAGAAAGGACATATAACTCCAAATTTCTGGCAACCTACTTTCACAAGGTGCATTGGTAGTGTGGCCATGAGTACCAAGGAAGACCTGTCAGAGCAAGGCAAGTTTATACAATGTCTTGATTGATGGTTCTTGGCAGACTAGCTAGTTACTGCATCACCCAGGCTGAGAGTTGCATTCTCAAATCTGCAAGTTACAGCAGTGTGTAAAGGCAGGTATACACATGGATTTGCCCTGGTAGTATGCTCATGAATCAGATTGTTTCCAGCTGTGGAAGGAATCACTGAGAAATTCGATATCAGCCATGAGAACTAGGCCAGGTGCTAACTATAGAGTAGAACATGATCTATTCATATGCAAGTTTAAATTGATGCTAAAGAAGGTTAAATCACAGCCACAGGAATTACAATTTGATCTTGAGTCTATCCTTCTTGAATTTATAAACCAACTCTACCAAGCTTGAGGCCTTGAACACTAATGAACAAAGAAAAGAAGAGCTGTGGGAAGATAAAAAGACTATTGTTCATGAAGAATGCAAAATGCCATTATAAAGAAGGAAGAAGAAAAGACCAAGATGGATATCAGAAGAGACTCTGAATATTACACTAAAATGCCAAGAATCCAAAGCAAAGGGAACAAATCAAGAAGTTAAAGAGCTAAGTAAAAGATTTCAAAGGGCAGCTCGGGAGGACAAGACAAAGTATTATAACGAACTGTGCAAGGCGCTGGAGTTGGAAAATAAAAAGGGCTGAACTCACTCTGCATTTCATAGGCTGAAGGAACTAAAGAACAAATTCAAGCCATGAGTCGCTATGCTTAAAAATGCTATTGGCGAGAGAGCTGGAATTTGAACCACACATGGGACAGCTGAGTTCCAGCCAAAAGACACCAGCCAAGCCACTGTGGAACCCAGCCACCAGGAGCAAGTAGGGGGCAACCACCTGCCACCCTGTGACTCCGGACGAACAACCAACCACTCCCAGCTTCTAAGAGACCCTGGAGGAGCAACTGCCTGCCAGCCACTGCAGAACCCCAGAGGAGCGAATGCCACTGACCACTGTGTGACCCCAGAGGAGCAACGACTGCCCGCTACTGTGTGACCCCACTGCAGCCCACACCTATGTGACCCCACCACGCAGGGTGCCGCAGTATAAACCCCCAGCAGCGCCCAAGCCCTGCCTCCTGCCTCCGGGTGGTAGTGTCCAAGCCCTGTGCTCTCGTGTCCCCCCTACAACCCCTTGCTTCCTCTCCCTTCCCCACCGCTTGCAGCCCCACAACCAAGCACCCCAGTCCCTGCCACAGCCCTGTAACCCCAGGGCACTGATGCAGATCCAGCCATCACCCGGAGCCACCATCTGAGCTGCTGTGGAACTAATCTAACAGAAGAAAGGCCGGTAGGATCCTGACTGGCTTTTCTGGGGTTACTGCTGATTTATTACCTGGGAGAGCTCCCAAGGGCATGCCCACTGGTGGGGAATTTGGCCAAGCTCTCTTAGGCTACACTGTCAGCTCAGAAACGAGCCAGCCACTTGTTGGCTTTTGTGGACTCTGCAGACCAGCCAGAGGTTAGTGGGTTGGTGGGAATTTGGCCTTGACTTTTGGGGTCCTACTGGATCCAGGACCCTGCTTGGGCAGGGGCTGCTGTGTCAGGGCACCTGCGTAAGTGCCACCAGGCAGGGAACACTGAGAAAACCACTGGGTGGGAAACAGCGGGAATTTGAGTGGGGACCCCAATCGTGAGCACACTCAGACAGCAGAGGTTTGAGTGAGGCCCCCCAAGTGTTTGACCTGCCCTTGCAATCACCCCAAACCTGTGCCTGCCTCACCCCATTTGGCTCCACACTGGTGCTTACACGTCTGGGCAATCAATTTGCCTTTAATCGGGAGCATCTTGACCTGTCTTATCAACAAGAGACTGCCCTCACAGGGTCTGAACTGAAATTTCTCTGAAGTCAGAAGTTCAGAGAAAAAAACAAGTGGGGTTGCTGCCCAACTGATCTCTAGAGAATTGTCTTTAGATCAAGAACATATCAATGTCCAAAGAAAGCAAGCTATCCCACACAATACACAAGAGTAAACAAACCAAGACGTCAGCCCCCCCCCCCAAAGGGTGACCCAGTATTAGTGGATTTCCTGAAGCCAGAAAGTCTGATGGAACTTCCCAAAACAGGATTTAAAAGAGGAGTGATTGAATATATTCAATGGATGAAAGACAAAATTGAAGAGTTACAGGATACTACAACCAAAAACAAGGAGGAACTAAAAAAAACCAAAAACAAAAAAACCACAACAAACAAAGAAAAACATTGCAGAGGAAACAAACACGGCATTAGCGGCACTAGAAAAACAAGAATAGACTATTCAAAACATGAGGTCGATAGTTTCAGAGGCTGTCAACATGATGGACGGACACATAAGCAGAGTTGAAGAGATGGAACACAGAACTAGTGAAATTGAAGATAGAATAGTCACTACTGATCTGCTAGAGCAAAAAGCAGACTCGAAAAAGAAGAAAAAAGAAGAAAACCTAAGAATAATGTGGGACACCATCAAGAGAAATAACATGCACATCATTGGAATCCCCAAGAAGGAAGAAGCAAGTAAAGGCACTGAAAAAGTTGTGGAAGAATTACTAGAGGAAAATTTCCAAGCCATAATGAAGAACGAGAGAATATGTATTCAGGAAGCTCAGCAAACACCATAAAGATTAGACCCCAAAAGAAAAACATGAAAGTATATCATAGTTAAATCTACCAAAATCAAAGATAAGGAGAGAATCCTAAAAACAGCAAGGGAGAAACAAAGAATAACCTGTAAGAGAGAACACATAAGATTAGGTGCCAATTTCGCAGCAGAAACCTTACAAGCAAGAAGAGAGGGGAAAGACATATATCAAACACTCAAAGAACA